CAGAATCGTGAGCTAAATAAACCTCTTTTCTTTATAAACTACCCAGCCTCAGGTATTACTTTATAGCAACACAAAACAGGATAAGACAGATTTTATCGTCATTAACATTCAATAACATTTCACATATCTGCATTTCTCCCACCAAGTTCAAGCATAGAATAGACAGTTTTTCTGATTAGTTAGCAACCAGAATGTTAAGAAGTTCAGAGTTCTAAAGCTCACTAAACTTAACTCAGGCCTCTGGGTGCTTTTAAAAATAAATAAATAAATAAACATTTGAAAAGTTTAGTTACATATTTTCCTAGTTCACAACAAATTACAATCGTCAAGTCAGAATGGGAAGTACAAAGCAAAGACATGCTAGAAATAGAAAGAGTTGTAAGAAATAACAAATAACTTGATAGGAAGAAACAGAAGGATGCAAAAGCTTAAAAAACTCCAAACACATAATCTTCTGGGGCCATTTAGGCAAAAGCTCTACATGCTGCAAGAGTCTCCAAGGACAACCACTGCACAGTGGGCATAGTCATAGAGGCAGATTCAGAGTAAAGTCATCAATAAGGATTACATTATTCTATGTATAGTCTTTTTCAAGAAGGCAGGGAAAAGTGTAATCATTTTTTTAAAAGCAATTCATCCAAAGTATTGTAAATAATATGTGTTGGGGATTAAATTTGCACACTTAAATAAATCTCAGTTATACAAATCCTGCACTCCAAAATAAATGCTAAGCACTACAGTTGATGGACAATTTTAAACTTAACTCCAATATTAGTTATGTATAAAAATATAAGCTTCTCATTCCCTGACTATAATGGAAAAACTGAGCTGCTAATGTAATTTGAAATCATATTCAAGTTCTGAAATAATATCATGACCTATGGAAAACTAAGACTATGCATATGTTATTTAAAAAACTTGAATTGTGAAATCATCATTTGTCTCCACCATGCTTATCACACTACTTATATTCCTCTTACTAGTCCTTCCTAGCCACAAAACAGGAAAATTATGACTTTGCATGGGAAGTTTCTCTTAAAAGCATTGACTTAAAAGTTTGACAAGTGTTATTCAGAAATGTTTATATGTGTATATTTTAATAATTTGCTCATAAGACATTGTTAAGTCATAGAAAGAGAATTTAGATTTTAATTCTCTGCCACCAAAACTAAAATCAAAGGAATATATACGGTTTTCTGTAAACAATGAAGCTTATAAAGGACAGAAAAATGACTAATATCTGATTATGGATAAAAATGCAAGTTTTAAAAATCTGAAGGGCTTTAACAACTTAATTTTCTGAAGTTCTAAACGATAGGGAATATACAGGGAAAATACTAGTTGGTTCTCAGAGCCAAAGTCAAGTGTATGAATATTTTGAAGTTGTGTGTGTAAGATTTGGAGTCCTCAAATGACCTACTATCTCTTCACCAAAATCTATGAAAAATATGATAAAACAGTACTTATCTGATGAAATAAGGACCATGCAAATGTTTTTAGTGTATGACATGTAAATGTTCACTAAAAAAACTGATGAATTACATATACATACACATATACAATCACAATGAGCCAAAATTCAGTTCAGCTTTTTATCTATCTTACCTATCCAAACAACCCATTTTCAAAGTTCAAAACTATATACTGCACTTGAATAAGGCTTTAAACGTAAAGAATTGTGTACTCATATAATAAGACTTTAAACTTAACCTGAGGAAACACCTAAATTGTTTAAGGGGTAAGGTAAAACATTACTGTGTTAAGTATAAGTGGATACACTAGAATGATATATGCTGGTGACTTTTTATTTTTTTGGTTTTGTAAATGGTTCAGTTTTTCCAGAACATCAGCAGAGAATTACAAAATGAAAGGCACAGTCCAAAATGTTTTTGTTTATAAAGAAAAATGGACATACCTAATTTAGCTATAATAAACATTTATCTTATTACCCTGCTCATATTTGGAAAAATTCAAAACTAAATATAAACATATTTTGCTTGGAGGCCATTATTAATTTTAGGCCTATAATTGAAGGTTAACAATGATCTAGTCCAATATTATTTTACAGACAACAAAAATGAACATATGGAAAGGCTGCATGGCTTGTAAAAGTACACACTAGTTAATGATAAAGCGAACCTAGAACCCAGTTATATTTCCACCAAACCAACTTCCTTCCAACTTAAATATCAAATCATCTCTGATTTGAGATATAAAAATAAAAAAAGAGGCCGGGCGCGCGGTGGCTAACGCCTGTAATCCCAGCACTTTGGAGGGCCAAGGCGGGCGGATCACGAGGTCAGCAGATGGAGACCATCCTGGCTAATACGGTGAAACCGCGTCTGTACTAAACAAAATACAAAAAATTAGCCAGGCATGGTGGCAGGCGCCTGTAGTTCCACTACTCAGGAGGCTGAGGCAGGAGAATGGCGTGAACCTGGGAAGCGGAGCTTGCAGTGCGCCATGATCGCGCCACCGCTCTCCAGCCCAGGCAACTGAGCAAGACTCCATCTCAAAAATAAAAAAATAAATAAATAAAAAATAAAAAAAGAATTCATAAGAGACATGAGTGAAATACCCAGGGTTTGGTGACTCTGGAAAGTAAACTAGTAATAAATGCATAAATGCTGCTTTATACATTTTTCTTAATTTGTCATGCGGCTTCTTAAAATGTACAAATGACCTATAGTGACTTTCTTCCAAAAAGTAAAAGTCATTCAGACAAAGTCTATCATATAGACCCCATTACTACACATGGATAATTTACATGCACCATCAACTATTTGGATATGAAGATCAGCCTTAATATTATCCATATAAATAACTATACAAATGAAATCCAGAGCAGAAACCGCAATTTATTTTAGCTATTACACTAAATCTGTGTGTAAACCGTAACTAAAGTTAGCATATACTCATTTCACAGTAGAAAATAATAATGTAAATTACAATAATGAAAATACAACTAATACAGAGAGTTGTCCCCAGAAATCAGTGTGACGTTCCTAAAATTTCTTAAAGATAATTTAAAATTTAATTTAAATAAAGTTGAAATACAAATCCTTTTCTTTTCAACTGTCTCTGATAAGGGCACAAATGGTCATCACATGATCTAAAGCCAGTCAAGACAAAAATGGAGAAGCAAAAGGAACAGTAGCCATCATTGAATTTATTCATTCAATAAATATTTTTTGAGTGTCAGATGCTATATCGAGAATTTGAAAAAAAAAAAAAAAAAAAGACAGATAGAATCATTACCCTTGTGAAGTTTAACAAAAGCTGATAGAGCTTTTTATTAAATGTTACCCCCCAAGAAGCACTGTATATGTTGAAACTACCCTTATTTTTAAAGCAGTTTTTAATGTCTGTATATTATGGTTAAGAAAATCAGCCTTGCTTATTATTCCATTTACCCACTTTAAAAATATCTACCTATACTTTAAAAAACCTAACAGCCTATTTGTCTCAAAAAGTTACATCATAGACAGCACAAATGGTAAATTAAACAGATGCCATATTACTTGACCACTTACAACTCAAAGTGCTGTAATAATTACATACACATATACAATCACAGTCAATGAAGAAGGTCTTCTTGCTAGATAAACATTTGTAATAATCCAAGCATTTTTTTAAAAGTCACTGTGAGTTAACTGCATTTAAGTCCTAGAATTATAATCTGTATTCCACTTAAGATGCTAAACACATGTTCACACAAGAAAAATAACGGAAAAATACAGAGAAATTGCAAAGGAAGAAAAAGTTTCATTATCATCTGATTCTTAAGAGGAATATCTCTAGGTGATGATTAGGAGTTTGATGGAAAAAAGTAATTTTAAAACAATGGTTCAGAGAAGTTCCTAAGAAATTGATGCTTAGGGTTTCAATTCTTCTTAATACTCAGATATAAGACTTAAAGGAAATATATCAGCATGTTAAAAACCAGTTTTCTCTGAATACTAGGCTTATTATAAACAGTAGTTATTTATTTATTTATTTATTTATTTATTTATTTATTTATTTTTGATGGAGTCTCCCACTGTGGCCCCAGCTGGAGTGCAATGACGTGATCTCAGCTCACTACAACCGCCTCCCAGGTTCAAGCGATTCTCCTGCCTCATCCTCCGGAGTAGCTGGGATTACAGGCACCCCCCCGCACCACGCCCGGCTAATTTTTTGTATTCTTAGTAGAGACGAGGTTTCACTATGTTGGCCAGACTGGTCTCGAACTCTTGACCTCGTGATCCGCCCGCCTCAGCCTCCCAAAGTCCTGGGATTACAGGCGTAAGCCACCGCGCCCGGCCCAATATAATTATTCTTCTACTGTTTCTATATTTTTCTGAAGTATGGAAATACTACATTTACCGTTATAAAACATTAAGGAAAGGCAGGCCTTAGAATAAATAATTGACATAAAGACCACAGTTCCACTCTTAATAACAACTGCAGAGCCAGCACTAGCACTGTAGCTGAAAAGTGGATAGTACACACACGCTCACACACACAATGGCTGGCATGTAGTAGGCACTCAACTAACATGTGTGAAATGAAATGGGTGAAGATAACGTAAACAAGCCAAAACAACGAAATGCACTCTGATTTGGGGGCACCACAGTAAACAATCACAGTTACTACCACTTTATCAAAAACTGGCTGATAGCTGAATGGGCATTAAATGAAAGAGTTCTTCCTCCCTGCCCTCCTCTTTCACTCTGACACTAGATTGCACATTCAAAACAAATCCTCCCCCAGCCCCGCCCCAAGCTCTACCCTCGGATACCTCCAGCACTGGAACTGACACAAAGTCCAGGGCTGCGGCGGTGTCCAGACCCGGGCCCCTGTCCAAGGAGCTGCGCGCTCACACACTCGGCTGGCGCAACATAGGCGGGGGCACTGGGCGGCAGCCCGTCATGCCCGGGACCCCCCCAGGGACCCGCGCGCAAGCCCAGAGGTCTCAGCCCCGGCCGGAGGCTGGTTCCCCTCGCCCTGCGCTGCCGTACCTGCACACGGTGATGAGGTTCCTCCTCTCCACCGCAGCATTGCGGGAGCTCAGGCTTTTCTTGCCGCCTCCACCGCCACCGCCGCGGATCCCGCTCAGGCCCCCCAGGCTCCGGGAGGCCATGGCGGGCTTACCCCCGTGCCCCTTTTGTCTCGTGCCGCCCCGCACGCCCCCCACACCTGCTTAAGGGTGTTCTCGCTCGGTCCGCGACCGTGGGGGCGCGGGAAGAATGTAGGAAAGGAGCCTGGAGGAAGGAAGGGTGTGGAAGACAGCAGAGACTCGCACCCGGGGACTGACGGCTAGCCCTTGGCACCCGAGCTCCACACACACGCACCACCTCCGCCCTCGGCGCGCCGCCGACTGCCGGGCTGCGCGTGCGGGTCGGCGTCGGGCGCTCTCCTCCTTCCCGAGGGACCTCAGCAGACGGCGCGCGCGCGAGCCCGTCGGCCCCTCACGCCCAACCACCCACACTCCGCAGCCACTAGTGCCCCAGCCCTGGCGGCAGCAACTAGGGCCCCGGCCTCGCGTGCGCAGCCCCACCCTCTCTGCGCCTATCAAATCAACGCTACCCCCGCCGGATCCAATCGCGGCACCGGAGGGGCGGGGCCGGCCGCGCGAACTTTTAAAGCAGCGGGCTCAAGCCCCGCCCCGACGCGTGGGCCGCTGTCAAGACGCCGGGCTCGCTATCGCAGCCCGCTAGCTGCCGCCAGTAGCCACGCAGGCTAGCAGCGGGGATTGTGGGATGCGGGGCCCCACAGTGCTGGGGGCAGATTGCCACCCCTTGCCTGGAGCCAAGCTTTAACGGCTGATACCTATTTCCATGGCTGCCGTAGCTTCAGTGTCTGCCTAGAAAGCAGCGCGCCGGCTCCCACACCCGACCCTGGGCCTGACTACTAAGAAGGGAGGAGGGTTCCTTTTGTCCTGACGCCCTCCCAGGAGCTAATAAACAGCAACACAATGGCCTGAGAAGAGTGGGGGGAATTGCTCTTAGAATCTCCTTCTTGGCGCATGTGGTGGCGAGATTTCTTGACCCTCCATACCATGTCGCTTTCACCTCAGCCTCCAGCGCAGCCCGAACCCGGGACTGACCGCCCGCCCAAGGAGGAGCGCGGTGCCAGTGTAGAGTCTTCTGGCGTCCTGGGCCGTGACTCCGGTCCGGGACTGGGAATAGTAAGCCCAGGAACTACGCGGCCTCGGTCCAGACGGGCTGCTCCCTCAAGAGCCCTGGAGCGCCCTCCTCAACGCGCGTGTTCGTAAGCGCCCCCTTCCCAGAGCTTCTCACTACCCTCCTGCAGGAGGGTCCCGGCTTGGGCCAGGTCCTCTGACTCACCTAAGCCTGCTATTTACCTCCCTTTGCACCAATATGCCCAGATTTTAGAGTGCAATCCTAAATAACTTACTCTCCCTGTGGGACCTAGCGCGGTGCTGCACACAGAACAGGTTCTCAATAAATGTTTCTCAAATTTAATTTGAAGTCACATTTGACATGATTTTTACTGAAATTTCACGGCTTCAGTGGCTCCAAAATCCATGTATCTTTCACCTCTGGTTTTGAAGTTTCTGTCAAAGAATGTTATAGAGTATACAGTTTTGTGTGGCTCTCTCTTTTTCTTATATAGCATCCCTAGTAATACAGGACATACGGTTACTCTTGAATGTTTTAACAACCCACGTTTGTGTAATAAAGCTGTAAATTCCTAATTTCTGAGGTTTTTACAGTTTAAAAATCTCTGTTTAAAATAATCAAAGAATCATCCTTTTCAGCTACCACATCTAATTTTATTCTACTATTCTGTTTAGCAGAATAAAAATATATGGGCCAGGCGCGGTGGCTCACGCCTGTAATCCCAGCACTTTGGGAGACCGAGGCGGGCGGATCACTAGGTCACGAGTTCGAGACCAGCCTGACCAACATAGTGAAACCCCCATCTCTACTAAAATTACAAAAATTAGCCGGGTGTGGTGGCACACGCCTGTAGTCCCAGCTACTCGGGAGGCTGAGGCAGGAGAATCGTTTGAACACGGGAGGCGGAGGTTGCAGTGAGCCGAGACTGTACCAGTGCACTCCAGCCTGGGCGACAGAGTGAGACTCCATCTCTCTCTCTGTCTATATATATATATATACACACACACATTCCTCTCTCTCACTATATGTATATATAATATCGGTCTTAACTAATGTGCTACCATAAATATTCGTTCATACATTAAAATTTTAAGAAAACAATTTAGTCAGACTTTACACTTTATCTTTCAAGTTAATAAAAGCAAGGGAGTTTTCTGTATATGGATGTTTGTGACTAGTCAGCGCACTTCTTCCTGAACATTACTTGTCTACTCTCCTGTGACACGGAGGCTTATAAAGAGTTTTCTTCTAGGAGCTACAACTTAGCTTGTCTCTTCTTGATAGTCCAACAGTTTGGGTTCAGAATTAGCCATCAGGAAACAGATGCACTGGTTATGCAGGCAGTCTCAGCAAAATATTTGCACTGGCAATGACAAATACTACTCAAATTAATGTTGTTATTATTTAACCACAGATAAAACTGCAGAAGGAAAAGAGTGGAAAGCCATTAGTTATCAAGAAAATTTCTAAAACCCCATGCTTGGGTGTGTCGTGAGTGGGGGAGAGAACACACATGCCTCTGAAGCATTTATCAAGAAGATAAAAGTGAGTGATCATGACAGAACGAGAAAAGTGAGATGTTACTATCCTCAAAATTGACTTCTAGCCTCCAGTACATTTTCATATTTGCACTGTGAACTATGACTGAAAACTTAGTAAAACCCCATCTTAAATGATGAGGTAATAATGTTATTTTTCAAATGTCACTCTTAGCGGGATTTAGTTGACATATTGGTACTTGCTTACCAAGACTGCCGTAAACAAGCTGTGTTTTTGTTTTGTTTTGTTTTGTATGTATGGCGTGTCATTACACTGCCACACGGGGGCCTTATTTGATAAGGCTTTTCTCACTTATCCTAAGCAGTATGTCCCAGGTCTCTTTCTCCCTCTAGATTACTAATCTGGATATTGTCAATCAATTTATTCAGTACACAGCATAATATTATTATAGAGCTCCATGAGTTCCACATCACTTTTTGGACTTCTTTTGGAACCTATTTCAATTATTTTTATTTATTTAAGCATTGCACAAAGGTTATTCAAAGATTTCACAAAGATTCACGATAAAAATTTTGAAAACAGCAGATACGTAAATAAACTTACAGGAATTCCGTAGAACTGAATGGGCAGAACATATCCATTCACCATTTTCCCAACTTCCTCCTTCTAATCGAAACAGACAAAATTACAAGTGCAACATATAAAATGTTCTCAAATATAAAATACTATAAAATGTAAATATAAAGTGCTATAAACCAGAAAGATCACCAAACCATTATTCTAGTCTCAGAGAAGTGGACTTTTTAAATATGCCATAAACCCAGCATCTGTGCAGAAGAAACTAGAAACAGTGAAGATGTAATTTTTTAAAATTTTTATTTTACTTTGACGTCAGATGGGTAATATGCTGACATCATAACAAGGATTGAGTGAGGCACATCTCACATGTGTGTGACAGCTCAGTCATCACGCTTATGAACCACAAATGGATAGATACAAATTTTTTCAAATCCACAAATCAAGCATCATCATAAGCAAAATCAAAAGCAAATGAGACCGAGAAAACATTTTTAAAACTCAAATCATAGACAAAGAGCTAATTTCCTCTATAAAGTACTCCTGCAGATCAATAAGCACTGTTTCAGTGGCACAATGAAGGTGAAAGCCAAATTCCAGTGAGTAAAAAAGTCAGTGGGAAGTGAGTATCACGCAATCTTAAAAAGTTGTGAAGGGGGAGAAAAAAAGAGTGGTGGTATGGGGGAATATTGAACAGAAGGATGTTGGTGTTTTATTGCTATTGTGTCATTATTTTTCACAGAAGTGACTTGAGCGTATTTTAAAGCTGATGCAGTGAATCTACTGGGAGGGAAAGGTTAGTAATACAAGAGAGAGAAAAAAACGATCAGAAGCGAGCATGAAGAAAATGGATGAAAATTGCTTTAAAAAAAAGTCCATTTGAGAGTAAGTCAAGAGAAGCCGAACATTCAGGGGAGATAGGGGTTTCTGCTGAGAAGAGGAAGCGGAAAGACCACTCCAAAGAATTGGAGAATGCAAGGAAGTATTGGTCATAGAGCAAAAGTTCCAGAGAGCTTCATGGAAGGGAGTGCAGACAGGGTCATGGGCAAGGAAGCGCAAGGCATGCTCATTAATAGGGTATGGATGGTGAGATGGGTACTACAGGCTATGATAGACACATAAAGAAGAGTACCTTGATGGATCTCATGAACTGTTCTTTGAAAAATGTCATTGGTTAAAGGCTGATCGAAACAAGGTGGATTTGGTCTTACAGTTTCTTTGAGGAGGGCAAATACTGACCCTCAGTTCAGAGGATATTTTTCTTTTTAAATTTTGTATCATGTAGAAGGGCGTTAACAAACTAGAAATTATATATAAACTTCAGACATTGTATGGATTGCATCAATTAATCAGGAGAACCATTCTCTAAAGTAAGTATTGTTAATATTCTCCCATTTACAAACAAGGAAACAGAGACTTGAAGACATTAAGTAACATATAGAAAGTCACACAGTAAATGGCAGAGCCAGGATCGAAATCTAAATCATTAGATAGAAAATCTATTATTTTTAAAATTTATTATTTTAAAGACAGGGTCTTACTCTGTGGCCCAAGCTGGAGTACAGTGGGTAATCATAGCTTACCTTGGCCTTGAACTCCTGGGCTCAAGGGATACTCAAGGGCTCAGTCTCCTGAGTAGCTGGGACTACAGGCATGCACCACCACAGCTGCCTAATTTTTTTTAATTTTTTAAAATTTTTTATTGAGACAAGGTCTCACTATGTTGCCCAGATTGCTCATGAACTCCTGGCCTCATATGATCCTCCCTTCTTGGCCTCCCCAAGTGCGGGGATTACAGGCATGTACCACCACAACTGGCCCATAATCTATTGTTTTTTCTAACGTGTTTCACTGCCCTTTTGAGAAAGTAACTCCAGATGAGGCTTAAACACAAAATTCCCATATTGTACACATGGTTCTTAAGAATCAGGAAGGATTTTACACACTGACCAACTGTGTCACTCATGGAATGTAGTCTCTAGATAATTCTGGAGCTCTGGCTTTCATTTTTTATTCAGAAAGTATATTCTGAATCAAAAGATATGCACAATTTTAACCACGAATAAAATTTTTTCCTAGAGATGTTTTACCAATTTACATCCTACTAACAGTACATAAATTTTCTTACATTC